AGAATCTTTTGTCTTCTCATTTATTTGTCAGAATTATTTATATATCCTGCTCATAATTTCTTTATCAGACATGCATCACAAGTATTTCCACCAGATGCATGGCATGCTTTTTCATTTTTCTTAAGTATCTTTGGAAGAAGATTTTAAAGAGAAGATTTTAATTCCAAGAAAGTGCAATTTACAAGTTGTTCCCTTTGGTGATGCATAATTTGAGGGTCTTATCCAAAAGACCCTCTTCTGCTCCAAGTTCACACAGGTTTTATCCCAGAGTTTCTTATGTGTAATCGACAGTTTAGGTCTTGTGTTAAGGTCTCTGATCCATTCCAAATATTTTTTGTACATAGCGTAGTGTACAAGTTGAGATTATTATTTTTTTGAATGTGAACATCCACCTATTTCAGCATCTTTTGTTCGAAAGACTATCGCTCCTCTGTTGAACTACCTTGGTATCTTTGTAGGTCTATTTCTGGACTCCCTATTTAGTTCCACTGGGGTGTGTGTGTGTGTGTGTGTGTGTGTGTGTGTGTGTGTATTTGGTACCAGGAGTTGACTAAAGGGGTGCTTAACCACCAAGCCACATCCCCAGCCTCCCCTCTTTCTTTGAGACAGGATCCCATCAGGTCCTCTATGAGTTGCTGAAGCTGGCCTCAAACTTGTGATCCTCCTGCCTCAGCCTCCCAAGCTGCTGGGATTACAAACACAAGCCACAATACCCAGCTAATATGTGTATTGTTATACAAATACCACACTGTCACGATTACTGTACATGATAGTAAGTCTTGATATTAGATAGTATTTATCCTTCAACTTTGTTATTTTTTTTCAAAAAATTTTTAAAATTTTGCATATGGGTGGGTTTATTTTGTTTTTGTTATTTTAGTTCTGTTGTTTTTCCATATAAGGTTTAGAATCAGCTTGTCGATTTCTACAAAGGGTCTTATGAGATTTCTATTGTAATTGGGCGTAGAGATTGATTAGGATTGAGTTGACTGTAGAGGCTGATTCACATCTTAACATGTTGAGTCTTCTGATCCATGAACATGGTATAGCTCTCTGTATATTAAGTTTTCTTTAATTGACATTTTTTAAAAAAACTAAAGGTGCAAACTAAATGGGGCCAAGAATATACTCTTGCTGGGGAAAGTGGGTAATATGGAGCAGTACTTGGCAGTAAAAGAAATGAAGTACTAGCATTAGCTATGGCGGGGTGAATCCCCACGACCTGCCAAGTGAAAGAAGCAGGTCCCCAGAGACCACCGAGTGTCTGACTCCATTTATAGGAAATGTCCAAAATAGAGACAGAAAACAGACCCAGGTTTGCCAGGGGGCGGAGGTGGGGTGAAGAGAGGAGGAGCAGCTGCTGGTGGGTAGGGAGTGTCTTTGGGGGAAGAAAAGATTTTTTTTTTGTACCAGGGATTGAACTCAGGGGCACTCAACCACGGAGCCCCATCCCCAGCCCTATTCTGTATTTTATTTAGAGACAGGGTCTCACTGAGTTGCTTAGCGCCTCACTGTTGCTGAGGCTGGCTTTGAACCCGAGATCCTCCTGCCTCAGCCTCCTGAGCCTCTGGGATGAGAGGCGTGCACCACTGCGCACGTTAGAATGTTTTAATGTTGGTGTTGGGGTTTGTCACTCAGTGGCAGAGGGCCTGCCTAGCACGTGTGAGACACTGGGTTCCATCCTCAGCCCCACATAAAAATAAATAAAGAAGGGCTGGGATTGTGGCTCAGTGGTAGAGCGCTCATCTCGCACGGGTGAGACCCTCAGCACCACATAAAAATAAAGGCTTTGTGTTGTGTCCATCTACACCTAAAAAAAAAATGTAATAAATATTTTAAAAATAAATAAATAAAATCAAGATATTGTGCCCATCTACAACTAAAAAAAAAATTAAATATTTTAATCTTGATTGTGTGGCACTAGTTGAACAACTCTATGAGCATACAAAATTTTACACTAATTTAAATGGGTGAATCATATGCCTTGCAAATTAACGAAGCTTTTATTTAAAACTGAGAATTATAAAAATAAATAAATAAATAAATACTGTGTAAACAGTGGCAACCAATAAAACATTTTGGGTCTCGAGTTATCCAGTTGCAATCTCTCGTGCACAAGAGGAATATGAAAATTGACCCTAGAATAGCATTGCTTTGGGTTTTGTCCAAATAAGAAGCTCAGATACAGTTGTACTTGGGCAAAGCTCTGGGCTCTGTGTTATCAAACTGTGGGGGTGGGGTGGGGGGGCAAACAATGTTTCCCCAAGGGAGCAGTCGGTGTCTCTTCTAAGAAAACAAACGCTGCTGTGTGCAACATTGTATCGGAATCTGTTGCCAGTGACTGCTCTCCCAGGTTCATGGCCAAGGTCTAGACAGTCGTCCGCCCTGGACTCTCTGGGGCTCGGGCAGAGGCTGCCCATCAGCCAGGTCCACACGGGGGACTCCATTTCCACTTGCTGGCTTGGTTGAAACTGTAAACTGATGGAAACCCTTCGACCCAACGGTGTATCCACTCCAAACACAGACCTTATCGCTTGGAGGTGAAATCTGAGGCTGTTTGTAGTGTCTGTTGGTTTATTTCTCCCACTTGGCTAACGACCCAAGGGACCACGCTAGTTAAAGTTCAGCCTGCGCTGAACAGACCCGTTCCTCACCTTCCAAGTGCTCACAGCTTTGGCTACAGGTCACACCACGGTTTACGAGCCTCTTGCCTGGTGCCTGTGTGGTGGTACGTGGTGCTTCAGTGTGGCTCTTGTAGTTGTTGCTATCACAATTATTATTATTATTATTATTAATTATTATTATTATTTTATGATGTCAGGGCAGGAAATGGACCAGCTGAGCAGAGATGCAGGGGGAGAGGGTCTGAACGTCCATCTTCTAGCCGTGACGGCCAGGGGAGGTACTTGGAGCTGGATTTCCATCAGAGGTCAGAGGCACGGAGTTGGAGAGGAAGCCTGTGACACTCCCATCTCACTCCACAAGGGAAGAAAGGGCAGGGATGTGGCCGTGTCCCCAAATCAGTCCAGCACTGAACATGGGTGGGTGCTTAAAAATCCCCGTTTGGATACGGTCACCCGACATTGTTTATTTAGCTGTTTGATGCAGTGCCAGGCGCCACGCTGGACATGGTCAAAGATGCAGAACTGCTGTCCTCAGTGGGTTTGAGCCCTGGGCACTAATCACTAAAGCACAGAGTCAAACCAGGTGAATTTCTTTTTTTGTTGTTAACATTCTAATGACTGCAAATGACAGGTGTCCCGTTTGGATCAGCCGACCTAAGAACACAGAGGAAATGTCTTGGTTTCCCTATCCCAGGAATAAGTTGCTTTCAGGCACGGCTGGATCTGGATACCCAGATGGTGTGGTCAGGAACCTCTTCGGGGGCTCTGCTTTCCGGTGTTGGTTTTGTGCTCAGGCAGGCTTCCCATACGTGCGGTGCCAAATATCTCTAGCTTAGAAGTCCTGGCTAAAGAAGCCGAGGTCTCTTCCTTGACTTTGTCTTTAACTGAGTGATGGAACTAAATCCCGACGGTCCGTGTAACAATGATCACGGGAGCGTCCCCCAGAGCTGGGGTGGAGAACCATCTGGCAAGTCACACCGAGGAAGACTCGGGGGAGGAGGGTCCCCCTGCCACATCAGAGCAAGGGGGAGAGGACCCTGGGCCAGCAGGTGCCACAGTGCCTGCCATGGTGTCCCCAGCATGGAGTGGCTTTCTGAGGCGGGTGAGGGTCATCCCCATGTGACCCCGGGAGAGCTCCCTGGAGGCGGTGGCCTTTGATCTGCATCGAAGGTAGAGTTCAGTTGTCCTGGGATCCATCTCGAGTGTCCTGCTTCCAGGCTGGGGACAGAGCAGGGAGGGATTGGGTTTCCTGGGAAGCCACCCCCACCAGGCCCTGTGACACGGGTCTTCCTGTCACCTCCCTCACATTCCTCCCTCACCCACAGCGGCCACCTGACGCTGGGCAGCGGCCTCACCCCATTCCAATCAGTACCCGCGAAGCTGCCGGAATGTTCCTTCCAAACCCCGATGACCTCACCCCCCCACACCCCCGAAGTCCCCGTCCTCCCCCAACAAATCTCAAGTCCCCAGTGTGGCCTGGGAGGCCCGTCAGTCCTGCCCCCGCAGCCCACGCCCTGGCTGCGGGCCCCTTCCCCAGGGACCGTCGCCTGAGCAGCCCCTCCCCCTCCTGGCCGGGACACTGGCGGCCAGGCAGTGTCCACGCGGTGGCTCTTGCCTCCCAGCAGCCTGCGGGTGGGAGATGAGGATCACGTCACTTCCCAGCCCAGGGAACTGACTGCCCAGAGAGTGATGGGCTCAAAGGGCCAGAGAGCCGCCGAGCCGAGGTTCAAAGCCGGACGGCATCAGCTGGTGCTTCACCAGCCACCGCCCTCTGCTGCCCCTGGGGTCTCGGGGGACAGGGCCCCAAGGCCGCCTGGCACCATCTGAAGTTGGCCGTCGGATGCAGTGGGTTCGCTGACAACGTCCTGGCCACGGCCAGCCACTGGGCAGGGCAGCGAGTCCCCGGTCTGTGCCAGGTCCCCTGGATGGCTGCTGGCACTCTGTCTGCGACTCCCAATGTCACCCTCTTGGCGGATTCTATGGATGAGACAGGATGGGGCCGGGGGTGCGGCTCAGGGGTAATGCACTTGCCTAGCATGAATGAGGTCCTGGGTCCAATCCCCAGTGCTGCAAAATAATAATAATAATAACAACAACAACAACAACAACAATAACAATAATAACAATAGAATTTGACATGATCATTATCCCTGTTTTGCACAAGGAACACCCGAGGAGCTGAGAAGTGGCCTGTCCAGTAGCGTGTGAATGCCCACAGGGGCGAGAAACTTCTGTTTTGCTCATTGTTGAGCAATTAGTGGCTGGTATACAGCAGGCGCTCAATAAGTGCTTTTTTTTTTTTTTTTTGGTGGGACGGTTGGAGGGCAGGAAGGCTGGCAGGAAGGGCGGTGTCCCACGGCCCCCGTGTCTCCGCAGGGGCCACCATGCACGTGAAGAAGTACCTGCTCAAGGGGCTGCACCGGCTGCAGAAGGGCCCGGGCTACAGCTACAAGGAGCTGCTGGTGTGGTACTGCAGCAACACCAACACGCACGGGCCCAAGCGCATCATCTGCGAGGGCCCCAAGAAGCAGGCCCTGTGGCTGCTGCTCACGCTGCTCTTCGCCGGCCTGGTGTGCTGGCAGTGGGGCGTCTTCGTCAGGACCTACCTGGGCTGGGAGGTCAGCGTGGCGCTCTCCCTGGGCTTCAAGACCATGGACTTCCCGGCCGTCACCCTCTGCAACGCCAGCCCCTTCCAGTAGGTGGCCCTGGAGCGTCCCCCTGGGTCCCCTTCCCCTTCCCTGGCTCCCGGGCCTCCCGCCTCCGGTGTCTGTCTGTCTGCACAGTGCATCTGGGCTTCCCGGGCAGCCGCCAGGAGCCCCCACCTCTCCCCCCACCAGAGCAGACGGGCTCCAGCGGGTCTCAATGTGGGACTGGTCATGACTGTGACGGAGACACTTTAAACCCCCCAGGGAGTGCTTGGGGTATGCTAGGCGTGCTGCCAAGTGTCCTTTGGGGGAATTGGTCTCATTCTGACCCACGCCACTTCCCCAGAGGCGGGCGCTAGCTCCAATCTGCAGGTGAGGAGATGGAGGTTCAGAGAGGTGCATGAACTTGCCCAGAGATGCACAGTGGGCCACTGTGAGACGGGAACCCAGGGCTGATCTGATTCCACTTTTTAACCGCTCTGACATATTGCCCCTTCCCTATTTGACAACAAGGCTGCTGAAGGGGACCTGCAGGGAGAATCAAACTCATCAGGGTTGAGGACAGGCAGCGAGCGGGTCAGAGAAAAGTGAAGAGGAAGTGAGACAGCGCCCCAAGTGGCTGCCACGGGGCATATGCAAGGGCCCTGGGGCAGGCAGGGGGTTGGGGCAGGTGTTCAAGGAACAGAGAGGAGGGCCAACGTGGCCAAGCCATGGAGGACATTCTCATCCCAAAGAAAGTCCCAGAAGAGGATTCCCACCTCCTGATTACATTTCCAGTTGTCAGAGGTCCCATCCGAACAGGGTGGGTCCTTAGAGCTGCTCAGGAGAACCCTCAAGAATCATGGCAGCCACGGACGCTCCGTCCGGGCACTGCTGCGTGGACTCCGTGAGCCCCCCAGTAACTCCCGGAGCTACACGTTTATACCCTCATTCGTCGATAAGAGAACAGGTGTTTGGAGAGGTTACTACCGGTCAGGGGTCAAGCAGATATCAAGGGACAAGTCAGGATTTGAACCCAGAGCCCGCACACTGACCGCCAATCTCCACAGCAGCTGTGGACACGTCGGCCACAGTGATGCCACCACCTTCCCCCTCCTGAGCGCCCTGGACGCAGCCCTGTCCCCCTCCTACCTCTCTGTCCCCTCCGAGCAGAGCCCCCGGCCCACGGGAGCCCACCGACCCCGGGTTCCCATCTCGGCTCTGCTCCCGGCACGTCCCAGAGCCTCGGTTCCCTTGTCCCTGCGCGGGGGACGATGATAGAATGTGGCAAAACAGAAAGCGCCTGGCGTCTGGCACGTGGCCAGCGATCAGGGACCCCAAACTGAGTTTCACAGGGAAAGAGAAGCGGTCCCCTTGGGACCAGTACCTGGCGCATAGTAGGTGTTCATTAAAGACTCCGTGGATGAAGGAAGGAAGGAGTGGGCTGCGGGAAGGCACGTGGGTGGGCGGGCGGGTGGAGAGAAGGACGCTGGGGCAGGGCATCCTTCCTGACCTGGTGGCACCGTGCCGGGGGCAGGAGGACCCCAGGTTCCGGTCCCCCTGCTCGGCGCCCTTGCCCACCCGACGGGGCCTCTCCCGTCCAGGTATTCCAAAGTCAAGCACCTGCTGAGGGACCTGGACGAGCTGATGGAGGCCGTGCTGGACAGGATCGTGGCCCCCGAGCCGGGCCGGGCCAACGGCAGCCGCACCCTGAACTTGACCATCTGGAACCACACGCCCCTGGTCCTCATCGATGAGCGGGACCCCCGCCACCCCGTGGTCCTCGACCTCCTGGGGCGTGACAACACCCTCAATGGCTCAGCACACAGCAGCCCGGCCCCCGGAAGGACGTGTAGCGCCCAGGAGTGCAAAGTGGCCATGAGACTAGTAGGTGGTCCCCGGAGCACTGGGAGCACGGGCTCCTCTTCTCCTGGTTGACGTGGCTCTTGCTGGGGAAAGCCACCTGGATGGGGACCGGGCTGGGGCCACAGCATCCCTCGCCCACCCCCACGTCACCACACAGGCCAGCAAAGGGCCTGGGGCCAGGAGGGGCAGTTCCCGGGCTGCCGGCGCCTGGGTTCTCGTCTGAAAAGCCAGCCCACCCCCGGGGGCTGCACGGCTCTCAGGGGCAGCAGTGTGTGTGTGTGTGTGTGTGTGTGTGTGTGTGT